TTTCTCTTTACCCCATATGACACAAAATCTAGTTCTGAAAAGAGCATGAATTCTGTGCTTATCATCTTTAATGTTAGTATATTTATGTGCATTATTAACCACAGTGTTTTTGTTGTCAAGTATTTGTTAATATATGAAGAATTTAAATGTTTTGAATATTCAACTTGAGAGTATTACTGCTAGAGGGAAAAAAATGGTAGTGGTGGCCAATGATTGGCTAAGGGTTGCCATGGCCACCCCTGGCCCCCAATCTAGTTCCGTCCCTCGTTGGGCTTTAAAATTCTACATCTTTCCACTTTGTTTCAGTTAAATCCTCAAAAAACCTACAACCTATAGCTGCACCTGTCCTCATAGCGTTTCAGTCTAACCCTGACAAGGGTTGCTTGTCAAAACTATTTCAAAATCTCACTCCAAGGTTTGGTGAAAAGTTGGCAGACCTGACATTTTCAGACCGTTGAAAAGACGTTAAAATGTTTATTCTTGGACTAAAGAGGGACAGAATCAGACCAACCAAACAGCCCGATTTTCAACAATGAGTTTTGGACTAAATCAAGACTATGAGGGACCGACCAGATTTAACCTAAAAACCAACTCTCAATGAAGGATGGTGTTTGATCTTAAATCAAAATGACAAAAAGACAAAACATTGCATCTAATCACAAATAATAATAGTTCTTAAAAACAACTTGAAAAAAAAAAAAAACGTTTAACTACAGTTATACAGACTGTGTCTCACATCTGAGGTTATGAATAAATTTAAATGACATATTTGCCTACCATACTGTGATTGAGAACTCAGGAAGCGAGGAGCAGCAGCCCAAATAAGGACTTCCATCACTTAATGTCCATGCATGCATTCCCTGGAAAAATAAACAAACAAATAAAACATGTGTTTTCATCACATTAAGTCTACCTGCTATTATTGTTATATTTTCAACCCTTCTATGCCCTAACTCTAAAGCTAACCCTAAACCTAACCATTACCAATGCATATGTCACCCTCACCCTAACCCTTTGACACCTTAGCCCTAAACCTAACCATTACCAATGCATATGTCACCCTC